CTCAGATCTTATTCATCAGCCTGCTGAACTGTTCCTTTTTCAGAAACATAGATACCATCCAAAAATTTTCTGATATCCTTGTTTTTAACAGTTGTGGCTTGCTGAATCAAAGCAGCTATTAACAGTAAAAAAGATAAGGAAATTACATTACCAGCCAAACTCATCTTAAAATAAAAGGATTTTATTATATGCCATACTTAAAGCCTATTATTTTGGGGGTAGTTTTTTACTTAATTCCACAAATGAAAATGCTCACCAAATGAGCAGAATACCATGTATTCAACTACAAGATTTAAACAAAATTCTATAGGCATAATTAGGCATAGTAAACATACAAACCTGAGTTTGATACAAGTTCAATGTCATTTCCTTCAAGAATTAACTCATCTTTTTGGGCTTGAGATACAGAACAAGCAACACCTAAAAAAGGGAGAAGGCATTCACATAGTGTAAACATAAAATCAAATCTGTACAAAATAATTTGAAAACATTTAAATTAAAGTAGCACCTTATTCCATTTACAATTCCACAGAACAAACGAAACTTCTTGAGATTCTGATTTTACAGGACCTGACTTAATCTGGGCAAAATCTTGTTTGTGTTCCTGCTTGAATGAATCTGTTCCAGAGTAGTTAAGACTTTCAGTGATTCAGGCAAGGAGTAAAGACAGTATTCAGCTAATGCAATTTAGCTGTTCACAGCTTTGTTACCAAGTCTTATTCCTAGGACTCTATAGATTTGGTACCTCTCAAGTTTCTTTTTTATATAAGGGTTCCCATTAAATGCTGTTAACCATAGCTAATACCACACAGTATTTCTGTAAACTCATGAAATGGTACTAAGAATTCTTTCTTCCCACCCCAGTGGAATCAAGCATCAAGAGAACACTAAGCTTTAAAATTTTCTAATGTTGGGGCACCTGGCTGGCTTAGTCAGTAGAGCATGTTGACTCTTGATCTCGGGGTTGTGTAGAGATTACTTAAATTTTTTTAAAATAAATATAATTTTCTAATGTCTAAAAAAAATTAAAAACAAAATGTGCTTAATGTTTACTATGTTACCAAGAACTGTTACAAGTTTTAACTCATTTAACCATGAGATGTTCCCAATTTTAGATGAGTAAAATGAGCTAGAGAGGTAGATGATTTGCCCAAGGATGATAGGAGAACTGAGATTTGAACCTAGACAATGTATGTTTTTGTTTTGTTTTTTAAAGATTTATTTATATAACAGAGAGAGACACAACAGAGAGGGAACACAAGCAGGGGGAGTGGGAGAGGGAGAAGCAGGCTTCCCGCTGATCAGGGAGCCGGACGCAGGGCTCAATCCCAGGACCCTGAGATCACGATCTGAGCCGAAGGCTGACGCTTAACGACTAAGCCACCCAGGCGCCCCTAGGCAGTCTGTGTTATTAACCACTATTCGCATTTTTTTTTTTTTAGGATCTCAGTTTGCAAAGAGAATTAAACACAGCTAACACCCCCTGAAACTACTCCAATGCATAAGCCTTTAAGAATCACAATCAGTATGAATACAATATAAAACCTTAACACCAAGAGTTATTATAAGCATAATCAAAATGGACAATTCTGAAATAAATATGGATTTATAGCCAACCCAAAACACATCTTCACAAGTAAACATTTCTAAACCGTATCTAAAAGGTACGCACATACCTGGCCTCATCCGAACCCTGCGGATGTATTTCTCACCCAAGAAATTTCGGATTTCAACAAGAGAACCATTCTCCTGAATAACAACGTTGATGG